GACATTTACTTTCTATAATGGCATGGAAGAATTAGCCCGATAAAATAGGAAAAGAAATGACAACATATTCTCTTGTCCTAACGCTTTTGCACAGTACTGTATGTAATTGTAAAAAAAAAACACAACAAAAACGTAAAAATGGCCATAAAAACCGCAAAACGCGAAATTAAAAACTGAAAATTAGTATGTATCTCCCCACTGACGCATTAAACCTACATACCAAATTTAGTGAAGGTCTATCTACAGGAGGCTAAGTAGCGGTAAAAAAAAACACCCATAAAACCGCAAAATGCAAAACAGAAAATGTGTATGTACCTCATCAAGGACCTAATGAACCTCCATGCCAATTTTGGTGAAGATCGATCCATATCCTACGAAGTAGTTACATGGACATGCAACAGACAGTACTATTATATTTATGTAAATTATTTCAGGCTAGTATTTCTACCTAGTTTTTCACACTAAAGATTAAGTAGATGTACAGTTTTCTATGGGGTTTTTTTTTTAATGAGAGTAAAACTGCGTACCAACCCCTGCATGCTTTTCATTTTGTATGCACAATTGTAAAGATAACTTTGTAATTATTAAGTTTTCACAAATTTTTCTTTATAATTTATTATATTTAATAATGTTATATGGGCTTTGTTTAGCTTAATCTGATTTCAGTTAATGCCAATTTTACTAGTTAAAAAAATTCCCTGCTTTTATTAACCAGTACAGTGTCTACCTTATACTGTCTATAGTTGGCTGTAATGATTATTAATTACTTACTTTCTTATTATTACTATATACATTTATCACTAACTCGTTTTATCATACATTTCGGCTGCTAATCTAATGCTGTCTTCAGGGAGGTTCTGAAAAGGACTATTTTTATGGTGATAAAGCCCAAGATTAGGTTATGGATCTTCTCAACAGATAGGCTAGTGTGCATTACACTCGAATGCGCTTCAATCAACTTACCTGAATGGTTTTAGGAGGAATATCTAGGTTCTGTTGACTTTTGTAGCTGACTGTATTATCTGTTAGGTGGGTTTAGAAGACTTGTTTTATCTTTATTTTTCTCGCATGTGATTCATCTTCCATTATTTTAGTATTTCCCTTTTACTTTATGGTCCTCTTCTCTGTCATGACGGACTATTGCAAATAATTCAGTATTGCGGAGTCCCGCAAGTCTGTTATGCTCCTGAATTCTACTTTTTGTTGGTCTTTTCGTTTCTTTATTGTATTGGATGGCCGGCATGGCCAGGTGGTTAGGACATTTGACTCGCAATCTGATGATCGCGGATTAGTATCCCCGTCCCACCAAACACGCTTGCCCTTTCAGCCGTGGGGGCGTTATAATGTGAGGGTCAATCCCAATATTCGTTGGTAAAAGAGTAGCCCAAGAGTAGGCAGTGATGACTAGCTACCTTCTCTATATTTTTTCACTGCTAAGTCAGGGACGTCTAGCGCAGATAGCCCTCGTGTACCTTTGCGCGAAATTCAAAACAAACTAAACCATTGTATTGGAATTCACATTTACACTGGATATTTAAAATGGCATGTTTTCTCTCCATTGGATCTTTAGGTGGTTTGATGATCGCATTGTGTTGCGCTGTTAATGAGGGTTGTGGTAATGTGTTTTTCTTCCTTCTTCTTGGCATCTTCGGTATTACAAAACTTGCTCATTGGAGGAGAACATCTCTTATTTGTGATGGTATAAAATCCCAAACTCCCACAGCTGTGCTCTAGAAAGACATATATGTACCCATGAGAGTGAGTGAGCTGATGGTACAAAGCAAAGAAAACACAAAGTTTTTTGCGTGTGAAACCTTTTGATTTAAACATAGAGTTACTCCTTGCTTTCCTGCTGCTATACGATTAACTTACGATTAGGAAATATTGTTCCAAATACTCTACATTACTCCGTACAATTCAACCAAGTTGCGTTTTTCTTTTCACCTTTTACATAAGTAGGAACAGACTCAAGAATGTTCCTATAGGAACTTTGTAGAGTTCAAACCTTGGTTGTGGGAATTCCATTTACCGTTAAGAAATTGTTTCAGAGTATTTTGTGTAAGATTGGGACCATTGTCTTATTGGAATATGAATCCCTGCCCAGTGAGCCGTGTTTCTGAAGGAATGGCATGATGGATCGGAATCTCTTTGCACTTGTCAGCAGTAAAGGTGCTGTCAACTTTGTGTAGATCGCGACATCATTGAGATGCAGCTCTAAATTTGTACTGGTCTCCCACCATGCTTCACTGTAGATGTTGTATTTTCTCTAGATCGCGACACCATTGAGATGTGAGGTGCAGCTCTAAATTTGTACTGGTCCCCCACCATGCTTCACTGTAGATGTTGTATTTTCTGTAGATCGCGACACCATTGAGATGTGAGGTGCAGCTCTAAATTTGTACTGGTTCCCCACCATGCTTCACTGTAGATGTTGTATTTTCTGTAGATCGCGACACCATTGAGATGCAGCTCCAAATTTGTGCTGGTCTCCCAACATGCTTTACTGTAGATGTTGTATTTTGTGTAGATTGCGACACTATTGAGATGCAGCTCCAAATTTGTACTGGTCTACCACCCTGCTTCATTGTAGATGTTGTACTTTGATGTCTTTATTCTCTCTGCTGTCAAACGAACTATTGAACAATTCAAAATTTGATTAATCTAAAAAAAAGCATACGTCTCAGTCTTTTCTAATTCTATCTTTTGTGGTCTGATGCCCATTTCAACTTTTTTTGGTTTGTAAGGTCGTTGGTAAGTTCTGTACACAACTGTCGCCTTTTTTTTAAAGCACCGAATTTCATAAAATCACTTTTGGAGAATTTCGGTTTTCTACCTTGACCTCTTCTTTTATTAGCAGTGACAGCTTCACGAATTCTCTCCAGCGCTTTGCATACAACTTCTATTGAAATATGGAATCTATCTGCAATTTTTAGTAGAGAATAGGCAGCCCTTTAAATTCTACACGCTTGTCATTCAGTACTTCAATCAATCCTAGGAACCGTAACTGGTCACACTACTTCTACTGAGCATAGTATGATTGCCTGCAATTTTATAACCTTAATACTGGTATGACACTTTCTGATTGGTTGATGACAACATCTTACTACCACACGTGACTGTGTTTTGGTGCAGCTCATTTTTACATAACTGGATGTTCCTATAAAGTGGGATTATTTTTTAAGTACTAAATAAATAATGAGACAAGACGATTTGCTTCATCTTCAGAGATAAATAAAACAACATAAACAACAGAGATAATGGTTTCTTCATAGTGATTTTTACAAATTACAGTAAGGAAGACTTGTTTTCAGGACAGGTACAATGGTGCAATCCTTTTCAAGTACACAGGTTTTAAAGGTAAAATGTGGATGAACACACCAGTGTTTTTTTGTTTCTTTGTACAGGGAGAATTTTCCTCCCTGTACATCCCCTGAATTCAACACCAACTTTGAGTCGCTTTTCACAGAAGTATTTCATTCACAAGTCGTTATATCGTTTTAGTTTGAGTCTTTATTTTGTATCATCTACTTGTTGTCACGTGCAAGAAACAAGAAGGAACAGTCCATTAAAAGCAAAATTATAATAAGTATTAAATTGTTCTTCCGGTGAAAAACGATTACTCAAAGTTCTTCAATTAGTATCATAAAAAAGTCAATAATTTGGGCAATTCATCTCATATAACAAACAAAAATGTAAAAAACAAAAACAAAAAAAAACAGAAGCACGCGAGCAATAAGCTGAGGCCAGCCAATGAAACGACAGTTAAACGAGTTTCGTTATTAATCATGTACAAAACCACACTTGTTCAGCTTAGCTACATCATAGAGCAGACGGGTATCTGGATTTGTCGTATCTTATCGATTAAAGATAGTTATGGAAGTTAAGACCAATCACAACTCAACGATGGGAAATGGTTCGTTTTCAAATGATATTGTAAGTGTTGATTTTTTTATGGGAGTCAGAAAGATTATTCATTTTAAGACCATTTATTTCTCTAATGAAAAACCGTAAATTTATTGCGGGGGATGAGAGAAGGGCAAGCCAAACGTGGGCCGAAACAGCCAGAATCGTAACTACAGTTATAGGGAAATATATGTAAGGGTTCCATTTACTTTTAATATGTGGGGGAGATGAGGGGTAATCAAGATAAGACCTAAGCTGGAGTATCAGTAGTTGCCCTAAAAATTCCTAAAGAGATGCTGACTTTCAAGTATTAGTATTTTTACTTTATTAGCCTAAGTAACTAATCATGTGTAAGTATTAGTATTTTTACTCTATTAGCCTAAGTAACTAATCATGTGTAAGTATTAGTATTTTTACTTTATTAGCCTAAGTAACTAATCATGTGTAAGTATTAGTATTTTTACTTTATTAGCCTAAGTAACTAATCACGGATCTCAAAACGGAGAATAAATTATTCATTTGCTAACTTTGCTATTACCGAATGATCGCGTTTTTATTTGTCACTGGTGTAAGTGCATAATTTTTATACCAAGAAATTAACCTGTTCAATGTTTTTGAAAGTTAATAAACATTTCAGTTATTCAAAATATTGCCTAAATTTATCTTGTATCTCAATTTTATAGGATTAGCACTAAACACAAAAAACATTCAGATGGAACAACTAGCTATTTTTCTGCTACACACACAAAAGCACGTGTTTTAACATTTCATTACTTATCTGAGACTTGAAACTAGTTTAAAGTTACAAACTCGCATGTGACTGGTATTACACATTTCAAGGTTAAAACATCGGTTATATCGTGTGTTCCGGTGTGTGTGTATCGGGTTATAACTTCTTCGTAATGATTGGACACTCATATTTATCGGTAAATGTATCGTGCTATTACTTCTTTGTAATGATTGGACAGTCATGTTTATCGGTAAAGATATGGTGTTATTACCTCTCTGTTATGATTTGACAGTCATGTTTATCGGAAAAGGCATCGGTTTATAACTTCTTTGTAATGATTGGACAGTCATGTTTATCGGTAAAGGCATCGGTTTATAACTTCATTTTATTAATTGGAGAGTCATGTTTATCGGTAAAGGTATCGTGTTATAACTTCATTTTATTAATTGGAGAGTCATGTTTATCGGTAAAGGTATCGTGTTATTAGTTCTTTTTATTAATTGGAGAGTCATGTTTATTGATAATTACATTGTGCTATAATTTTTTGTATTTGTTGGAGAGTTTTGTTTTCTGATAACGTTATCGCGTTCAAATTTCCTTAAAGTAGGATGACTCGTGATATTGTTTACAAATAGAGCCTGATTGTTAAAGAAGGATGACTCGTGATATTGTTTACAAATAGAGCCTGATTGTTAAAGTAGGATG